GGGGGGGACGGCACCGATTCTGCCCACCCCCCTCCCCGTACCCGCCACGTCAGGCCAATTCGAGTAACCGCCAGCCTAGAAACTGCTTGTGACAGCATTTATCCGTCCCCTGCCTCTCCTGCCCCACTTCCCTCGCCCCGGAGAACTCTCCACCTTGGCTCTCTGACTTCCTGGCTAGTTGAAATCTGTCTGTCCCTGGGTGGCTGTCCGATGGTTGTTAATAGGACTGTTTTCCTCCTTTTGTAGGCCTATACCATTCAAGGACAGTATGCCATTCCACAGCCAGATGTAAGTTTTTATTTACAACTTCTTGTCTTGAAATCCACCCTTTTCCTTCCCCCCTTCCAAAATTTTCTCCGTGCTTTCTCCGCTCAAGCTGCTCAGCTTGGGCTGAATGCTCGATCTGATCCGAGCCCCCCCCCCAAAAAACTCGCCCCCCTCAGTTGGCCTTCCTGCAGCCAGCTTTACCCGGCCTCAGAGCTCTCCCTGGATCCTCCCCCCACCTCCTCTCTGACACTTCCCTGCTCCTGTTATATTTTTTTTCCAAACCCACCTCTCCCTGGCTTGGCATTTCACACCAGCTCCGGCTTTTCCCTTGCCCCCACCCCCTTGCTCCTCCTCCCTGAATTCGGCACGAGAACACCCCCCCCCAGCACACGGTGGCTCTGTCACGGTGGCTCTCCCGGGGCAGGGGACAGCTGGCCCAACGAGTGGGCGCAGGTGGCAGTCGGGGAGGGGGTTGGATCCGGCCCATCCCAGGCTGCTGCCAGCCTGGCGGGTCCGTTCGGGAGAGGAGGGACCATCCCGGCAGCGGCCGCCTCTCCCGGTGCTGTCGGACACCTCCATCCTCTGGCACCCATCCTCATCCCGTAGGGGCTGGTCTCTGCTCCTGGCACCTTAGGGCAGCGAGGGGGGGGGGTCTGACGCGCCAGGCCAGGGGGGAGAGGGGCTTAGAAGGAAGCTGGGCTGGAAGAGCTGCTCCTTTGGCGGAGCCGAGCTGCGCTCTGTCCCTGTTCCTGCCGCTCCCCCGCAGTGCTGTGAGCACCTGCTCCCTCCCGCTCCTCTCTGCTTCTCTTCCTGAGCTCCTCCAGACCTCGCTGCACCGAGGGGTGGGCACAGCCCCCAGCCCACCTTGGCCTCCGTGCAGACAGGGCCGGGCCGCGTGCGGAGGGGCCGGGGCGGCGGGGCCGGTGTCCGCGCGGGCGCGCGTGCGGGGTGAGTCCTGGCCCCCCCTGGCCTCGGGAAATGGCTAACGCCAGCCTTTTCTCTTTTCTCTCTCTTTTCCCTCCTCTAGCTGACCAAGCTGCACCAGTTGGCAATGCAACAGTCACACTTTCCAATGTCTCATGGCAACACTGGATTCAGTGGTATGGAAACTCCTTCTCTCCGTGTGCGCTAGCGCGGGCCGGAGCCCAGCCCGGGCTGCCCCCGGCTCCTCCGTGGGGCCGCGCTCGCGCTCAAAAACCTAAACCCAAACGTTCCCCCGAGCTGGGCCCGGCCAGGTAACGATTGTTGTGATGTCTCTGGGGGCTACAGGGGTAGGGAAAAGCCGAGCCTGGCACAGGCAGGGCCTCCATCCGTGCTGCTTCCCTCCCTCATCCCCCCCATACTCTGCCAACGCACTGGGAGACCCCCGGCCCGCAGCACCCGCTCTCTCCCCTCCGGCTACTCCAGGCCTGAGCAGGCATCTACTGAGTTGTACCAAATTTGCTTTAGATTTGCTAAGATGGCTAAAAAAAAAAAAGAAAGTGGAAAAAAAACCCCACCCGTTTGGGGCTCTAAACTTGAGACAGCCAAACTTATTGTGACTTGTATCTTAACAGGCATTGACTCCAGCTCTCCAGAGGTGAAAGGCTATTGGGGTAATGATCCAAACACACAATCTGTAGTTACTCTGTTGTGTATTGATGCTGCCTGGGGTCTCGTTCTCCCTGATAGATGCTGCTGCCCACGTTTGTGCCCGGAATGGGGGGAAAGAGGGTTGAGGGGAGCCCTAGAAGGGCTGGAGTTGCAGCCTGACTCAGCTGTCCATGCCCTGGAGCTCAGCTGGATAGCGGAGAGCAGCAGGATTGGGCAGAAGCTCAGCTGTCCCAGTGAGCTGTGGGCCCTGAGCTTTACCCTCCCCCCAAAAAAAACCACACTGAGAGGGGCAACCCCCAGCCAAGGAGGTGCTGGAGCTGTCAGGAGCTGGAGGTGGCGGGGACAGCACCGTGTCACCTGCTGTGTCCCCAGAGCACTGCCTGCCCCTCACCCAGAGCCTCAGGGTGAGGTCTCGAGGCTCCCACTGCTCCCTCTAGCAGGGAGTGAGCTGGGAATGGGGGGAAAGTGAGAAAACACGGAAAAAATGCACGTGGCACATGCTTGGCCCCGTGCGAGGCATGAGTGGCCTTGCAGTGCCAGCCAGCATAGCACTGCCCTGCCGGACCTCAGAGAGGAGGAGGAGGAGGAAGGAGGGGTGATGTAGCCCTTGGAGGTTGGTACTGGAGTTGGGAGCAGGGCTGAGTGCCCGGCTGGAGCCCCCCAGTGCCAGTGCCCTGCTCCCGGATGGAGGACCCTGCGGTGACACACGGGGAGGGGACAAGGAGGGGAGAAATCAGGGGGTGAGCGAGGAGCAGGGGGGAAGCAAGGAGTGGGTGGGGAGCAGCGGGGGGTTGGAGTGACCTCCCAGCCTGCTCTGCCCTCCCCAGCCTGCTCGGAGGCCTCCCAGGCAGCCTGAAGCTGGCAGCACCCCCAGTGTGTCACCCCCCTCACCTGCCCCCCCCTCTCTGTCTCTGAGCAGGTTTGGATGCCTCTGCTCAAACCACCTCCCATGAACTTACCATTCCAAACGATGTGAGTATCCCAGGGGCATCGGGGGGTGGAGGCATTGTGGGCAGACAGCTGCCCCTTGGCCCTGGGGGTCCCCAGGATCTGCCCCTCTTAACAAAAGGGGTGTGGGGGTGCCTGTTCTCAACTTTAAAGCCGCAGCAGGCTTGTGGCTGCACCCCAAAGTGCCACCTCAGGGCCACTCTGGCTGTCACCACATTCCTTATCCCCTTCCAGTGAGCTTGAAGGCAGAAAACCCCTTTTTCAGCCCCTTAAACTCCCTCTTCCAGCTCCTCAACCCCGTCCTCCTCCCCCCCACCAACTAATCATCCAATCATGAGATTGTTAAGGTTGGAAAAGGCCTCTCAGGCCACCAAGTCCAACTGTTCCCCCAGCACCATCAAGGCCACTACTGAGCTGTGTCCCCAGGGGCCACATCCACGTGATTTGGGACACCTCCAGGGACAGTGACCCCCACACTGCCTTGAGCAGCCTGGGGCAGGAGCTGCACAATTCCCACGAAGGAATTTTTCCCCAGTGCCCAACCCTAGGAGAGAGGTACCAGGCAGGAGGGTGAGGACGATGAGGGTTAATTAATTAATTAACTAACACTGCTGCTGCCTCCCCCCAGCTGATTGGCTGCATCATCGGGCGTCAGGGCGCCAAGATCAACGAGATCCGCCAGATGTCCGGGGCGCAGATCAAGATTGCCAACCCCGTGGAAGGATCTACTGACCGGCAGGTGACCATAACTGGATCTGCAGCGAGCATCAGCCTGGCCCAGTATCTAATTAATGTCAGGTGAGTCCCCACTGACGAGGTTCTGGGGGTTCCCAGGCTCCCCTCCCTGTGCCCCGCATGAGGGGAAGGGGTTTTCTCCCTCCCACCCCGTGTTTTCCCCTGTTTCCTTTCCCCCTTCCCTGTGCCTGCTGCCCCAGTTTCCCCACTGCGATCGCCTCCGGGGCTGTGAGACGCTGCAGGGTGATGGATTTGGCTGGAAAAGCTCCGGCCGTGGGGCTGGGGGGAGCCTGTGGCTGCAGAAGGAGCCTCATGGTGGTCTCTGCTGTTCCACTGCAGTGCTGAGGGGTGACAGGAGGGGCTCCCTGGCCCTGCTCCTGGGGATCCTGAGCATCCCAGCAGGATGCTGTCATCCCAGAGAGTGGTTGGTGCTGCTGGCAGTGCTTGGCTCTGCTCTGGTGCTGTGGGTAGCACTGGTAGGGCCTGGTCTCGGCCACCCATGTCCCTGTGTCCCGTGTTCCCTGCCCTGAGCTGTTCCCTGCCCTGAGCCGGGAGTTGCACCCTCCCTCCCCCGACTCCACATGGCCCAGAGGGGCTGGGGGTCCCTGGGGCCGTGTCCCTCCTCTGGGGGTCCCTGGGGCCATGTCCCTCATCTGGGGGTCCCTGGGGCCATGTCCCTCATCTGGGGGTCCCTGGTGCCGTGTCCCTGCTCCATGTCACTAACAGCAGAGCAGGAGCTGCCAGTGATTGTCTCTGGTTTTTGGCTCATTCCCTTCACGGTGCCCAGGGTGTGACCTCATGGCTGAGCCAGGCTCATTCCCGGGGGTGGGTGTGGGGGGTCCCACGTGTGGCTCAGCCAGGCCTGGCAGTGCCACTCCCCTCCCCTCCCCTCCCTCCTTCCCTCCCTGCCCTCCCTCCCCCTCCTCCAGCTCGGCTCCTGCGGCGTTTTTTGCTGTTTGTTCTTGGCCCTTTTTTTTTTTTTTTTTTTCTTTTTGTTTCGCATTTTGTGCTGTTCCTTCCCTCCCACCCACCCGTGTTTTGTTTTGTTTTTCTTTTTTATTTTTTTTTGTTTGTTTTTTTGTTCCTTTTCTCCTCTGTTACAGTTTAGAAAGCGCTAAACCCTCCTCCCAGGCAGCCTCCGTCACGATCCCTGACCACCTCAGCATCAACCTCTCTCAACCCTCCACCCCTTCTTCTTCTTCCTCCTCTACCACCACCCCCTCGCTCGCCACCGCGGGGGCCTCCGACGCACCCTCCAGCCTCCCCAACCCTCTTCCGACCGCCCCTTGTGTCTCCAGTCTGCTTGGCATGAAACCTGTCCCTCTCCTGGCGCTAAATGTCGTGTCTGCGGCCAAAGGGGCCGCGGCGCCCGCCGTGCCCTGTGTCACTAACAAACTGAAAGCGGAGAAGCAGAGGTTTTCCCCTTACTGAGGCTGCTCGGGGGACCCACACAGGGGTGGCAGCACCGGGACCCTGTAGAGGAGACTTGGAACAGCAATTTTCTCTATTATCCTCTTTATTTTTTTTTTTAATTTTATTTTTTTGTCTTTTTTTTTTTTTTCTTTTTTTAAATCTTCCTCCTTTTTACTCCAAAATCTGAGCTTGTGCTGCTCCTCGAGCAGAGTTTTCTTGCCGGCCGAGAGAGACTGTGTCCCCTTGTCCTGTGATCGGTCGATTCCTTCTCTGCCTGCCTGTAGCTGTCGCTTGTTACTTTTCATTTCTCCTCCTTTTTTTTTTTTTTTT